CGGGGCGGTGGCCCGTGGGCTCTGGAGCTGCAGGTCGGAGCGGGTCGCCGCGCTCTTTCGTGGGAGGGGGCTGGAAATCAAGTAGAGAACCAGCAGAGGGAAGGGTCTGCGGAGAGGAAGTCGGGCCAATGAGAGTGGTTTGCTTTTTAATGAGTTTCGGGGTCTCTGTGAGTGAGGGGGGTTGCCTGTCTGTCCCCAGGGGCAGAACACTCCGTTCTCTGGGCCTCTTCGCTTGGGCCCGCGCCCCGAAGCGAGTGAGGGGTGCGGTGACCCCGGAGCTAAGAGGCCCATCGAGGAGGCAGTCTGGCCTCTTGCCCAAGTGGAGGTCCTACGTTTGCAGGATCTGTGACTCTGGCGGTTCAGAGCAGGTGGTTCCGGCTGAGTGGGTGTCTGAGCTGTACGGGCGTGTCATGATTGGCACTCTTTAGGTGCCGCGGTGTGGTGTTGGAACATTGATACGTATTTACTCTGGGTGCTGTTGAACTCTACCTGACTTACAGCCACCGCAGCCAGGGGAAAAGCAGGTAAATCGAGGGAGCTTGGAAGAGGCTGTGAGACCCGAACCCAGACAAGGGTTTATGTGAAACGGAAGGACAGTTCTGAAGCCTAAATGACAGCGTCACCTCATCTCCATGGACATCAGATAGGATGAAAGAGAGGCTCCCCTTACTTGGTGAGGAGCTAGGGCAGACACTAGGGAAAAACTCCAGGTTGGCAATGAATTAATTGCTAATGGAAAATGTATTATTTCTTATACTGCAAATATATGTGGGTCTTGTAAGATGGTGTAGCCATCCGTTGAGTCTGGGTGGGGGGTGGGGGGCAGGGGGGTCTGGGTTTCCTGTGCTAAGTCTCTGGCTACCTGGCATCTCGTGACCTCTTTGCCGTAGAGAGTTCACAAAGGGACCGTGGCACAGTGCTCAAGCCCTTGACTGCTCACTGAAAGATGTTGGTTAGAGGGGCATAGAGGATGGCACTGAAACCCCGTGGGAGTAGATCTACCATGACCTAGAGGGTGACTATGAATCAGGATCCACTTGATGGCAACAGGTTTTTAATGTAGAGTAACCATGCAGTGTATCATCCAAAGGAGGGCACTTTTGAGAGTGCATGGGGGCGTTAGTGATCAACCTTACTTACACATGACCCACAGTGACAGTCCAGGACAGACAGGGATGAATGTTCATCCTAAGCGTCAGAGGTAGGGACAATTCACGAGGCAACGAAGGGTGCTCTCATGCTATTTTGATCTTGCAGCATCCACCTTGGCGTGGTTCTGCCAGACACTGATCCCAGACCCACTTTATTCCAGTTCCAGATTTAAATCTCAAAAGCCAGCTCCAAATACAAATCACTTTCCTTTGATGACTCCCTTCCCTTGCCTTTCCACTAATCCCGCTTCCTCCCCCAGAAGGCCCATTTCCAGAATGGAATGGAACTTCATTCTCAGGAGTCTGCTGGGATTGCCAATAGAGGGTGATATGTGTGCGGCTGTTTCCGTTCCCTCTGTCTGCATCCTTGTGTTGTTTATGAACCTGGGACTCCTGAGAGGCCGTCCCTCTGCCAGAAGTTGTGAGTATTGTGTTGATGGCAGCAGATATACCATGACCCTCGCAATCCCACAGCTGAGCCCTCAGGTCACTTGCTGTCATAACTGCTCAGCTCCTCCGAGGCTGGCGGCAGGGTGTGTGTTGGATGTGAGAGTACCACAGGGAACGGAAAGAATCTGTTGTGTGCCTGGGTTTCAAACCCAGGAGGAGCTCCTGTGTAAGAGGCTGCCTGTTGCAGAGAAAGGCTGAGTTTTTACTTCCTTGCTTGTGTGAGGGAGCCGTGAAGATTCTTAGGGGATGTGTCATTCACACCACTGTCCCTCTGGGAGCTCTAAAGTCTGCTAGACAGCCAAGTCTCTACAGGGCTTCGAACAACCTAGCTACCATTTATTGAGTGCTTTGTTATTACTGTCTAAACACTGCACTCAGCACTTTACAGACATTGTCATAATTAATCCTCCCCAACCCCTATTGGAAGGTAATTACTAATTATCCCTATTCTATAGGTGAAACTGAAGCTCAGAAAAGTTACGTAACATTTTACCCAACCAATGAGTAGCAGAGCTGGGATTCAAACCTCAGGCTGGCTGACCACCTCCACTCATGATGACCTCTCTGTGCTAAAATACATACACCCACAGTCCTGGGAGTGTGCTGGGGAGCACACTTTGTCTGGTACTTGACTCCTGTTTTCCTTTTCCTTTCAATCAGCAGCACTTTTACTTAATAAGGGTAAAGCTTGTATTTCCCCTCCTCTGCCTAGCTTCATAGACCCATCTCTTTAGGGCAACCTCCTGGGTCGCACATCTGTGCGCTCACAGGTGGAGGATGTCTGAGGGAAAAGCAGAGCGCATGTCACACCCACCTATTGTCTGTGTCTTGGTTATTGAAGCCTCCTTCTCTTGGGACCACCATTAGGGAAGCCACTTGTCTCAAAGACTGCTTGAACTTTGGAAGGTTCTCCCTACCCCTTGCTTTGCTGAGAAGTAACTCTATCAACTAGCAGCTGATCCTCACTGTACCCAGCTGAAAGTGAGTCGGGCTGATTGCTCAGTGTCCTTCCACCTTGTGTAGGCTAAACGAGAACCCTAGACATTGTTTCTACCCATCCATCAACCCTCTGGACCCGACAGCATCATAATCAGCCTGATCAAGAGCAGGGAGAAGAAACGGGAGAGATCGTGGGGTGAGGGAGATAGAAGAACTTTGCTTTAGGAGACTTAGCTTCTAGCTTTGATTCAATTCACTCCTTAGCTGAGTGACCTTGGGTAAGTCACTAACCTCTCCGCTCCTCCTTTACCTTACCTGAAAATGAAGCATTTGGGCGCTGTTCTCTGCAAATCCTCACCAGAGCTCCCCTCGCCTTGCCCCCACCTCCATCTGTGTGTGGAGCTTACGGGGCTGATGGATGCAAATGTCACAGAGGCATTCTGGGAAGGAGCACTGACTGCCCTTGGTCCCCTGTGGGCAAGATGAAGAAGGCCAGTTCTGGTGGGAAAAATGGTAATGGAGCAGGTAGTGCTGCAGTGGTTAAGCTGCTAATTGAAATGGCAGGGGTGCCAACCATGCCACAGGAGGAAGATGTCCAACCTAGGAAACCCTATGGGGCAGGTCGATTCTGCCCTCCAGGGTTGCTCTGAACGGAATCCACTTGATATCAATAGGGTTGCTCTTGGGTTGACTGTTTAACCAGAGCAGAGCCTTTCCTTCTGCCTGGCAGTGTTGCTTGGCACCTCCAACAAGGGACTGAGAAACGGGACAGCAGGTAATAGAGCCCTATGTATCTATAAGATATCAACCACTGTGCTAACGTGCAAGGGAAAGGAAAGGGAGAGAGGGGTAGAGGGGAAGAAGGAGAGCTTCCCAAATAAATAGGATAAAGAAAAAGACCAAACTCATTGCCACTGGTAGGACAAGGTTAAACTGCCCCTGTGAGATTCTGAGACTGTAACTGTTATGGGAGTAGAAAGGTGCATCTTTTTTCTGTGAAGTAGCTGGTGGACTTGAACTGCAGACCCTGCAGACTGCAGCCCAACATGTAACCACTATGCCACCAGGGCTCCTCTCCACCACCAGGGATCCTAATACATAGGGTAGGTGGTCTTTTTCCTTATGGTATTTATGAATGTAGTGAGGAAGATGGACCTAGGTCATTGAACAACACCTGCAACAAAAACCATAAACCCTTTGGAATGAAGAAACCCGTTACAATGCCATTTGTTAAAAGGTTAGAAGTTGGTCATGTGCACCTCAAAGATCTGGCAGAAGCAGAGCTGTGGGGTGCCCTGAGAACTTGGATGAGGGGTAAAGTCCTCACCCCTGATTCATGGGTTCTACAGGGCTCTGTTTGCCATTTATGTATGGATTTGGGAGGCCCTGTAGAGAAGAACGTTCTAGAATAGAATTGGACCTTACTAAGGATAAGCCTTCCATATATCCATATGCTATTACTTGGACAAATTCACCT